CTTCTGCTCAGGAAACAGGTGGACGGGGATGGGGTGGGGACCGGCCCCGCAGATTCAGAGACCGCAAGGGCAGGGGCGAGGCACCTAACGGTGCGCGGCGCACGGCAGGAAGCAGCACCCCGGCACCGGCTCCGCCGGGGGGGGGTGCAGGCGGGTGGGGTCAGAGCCGAAGGCAGGGGCAGCGAGGAGCCGCAGGCACGCGAGGCGGCGGCGGGAGCTCCGGCTCCCGGCACCTGCTGAAATGTAGAAGCTGGAGGCAGGGGGTGGGGAGGGGGGGAGGCGTTGCCATGACGACCAAGTGGGCGGGGTTTCGGCTTAAAGGAGCCCCCACCCACCCCCGCCCCGCCCCGAGATCCCCGGACAAGATGCCCCTCCCTCCCCTCCACGTGCACACACCCATCCCGCAGGCTGTCTGCGGGAAGGGAGACGTCCTCTGAGCCTCATCCATCCCCTTCCCCTAAATACATCCCAGTCTGCCATCCTGGTCCCCCACCACCCCGCACCCCCATCTTCCTCCCCACTCAGCTGCATGGGTGGGTCATGTCAGGCTCTAGCATCTGGGCTAGATCTGTGTGTGTGCGTGTGCGTGTGTGGTCGTATTGCTCCTTTAATCGAGAAACTTTTTTTGTTCAGTGCTGAGGACCTCCGGGATGAACAGGGAAGCTAGCGTCTCTCCCTCCGTGATGCCGCCGGGCTTTTTATCGCTCTCTGAGCTCTGGGTTTGCCGCTGCCTCCCTCCTCTGGGTGTGTCTCCCCGCTCTCCGGCTCCGAAGTCTCTCCTTCCCTCTCTTCTCCTCTCCTCTGGTTTCTCTCTCCCCACTCCCCGCTACTCTGCCTTGCTCGCGTCTCTCCTCACGCCCCGCACGGTGCACAGGAAGCCTTTTCGTCTCCATCTCCCTGCCTTTCCCGGTCTTTTCCTCCGCTAGTCTGTGTTCCCGGGTCGCCTGGCGTTTCCCCGATGCCCGTCACTCTCTGCTTCTGTGTTTCTCCCCTTCTGTCGCTAGGGGATGCTCGCCCTGGGTAGTTACCTGTCCCTCCTTCCCTGTGCCTCTTTCCTTCCGTCCTTCTCTCTGACCCACTCAGGGCTTTTCTTTTTGTCCCCTCCCCGACCCTCTTTGTCTTTGGGGACCCCTCCTCACCCTAGTGGTCCCTCCCCGCCCCGCATTTCCCTGTGACTGTCTCTGGGAATCTCTCCCTCCTCGGTGTCTCCCTGCGCCCTCCTCTCTCGGGCGTTCCTCCTCCTCTGTGTCTCCCCGGGACTGCATCTCAGAGGGTTCTCCCCCACAGTGAACGGCTCTGGAGGTTCCTCCCCAGTCCGTGTTTCCCTGAACTCTCCATCTCTGAGGGCCTGCCCTCCACCCCAGTGTCTCCCTGCGACTATATCTGGTTAGGAAGGGGGGGTCTTTCTTGGCTCTGGATCTCCCCGGGACTCGGGTGTCTCTGGTGTCTCCCTGTGACTCTCTACCTGGGTGGGGTTTTCTTCCCGACTCTGTCTCCCTGGGATCTCCCATGCACACCCCCTCCCAAGTTCACTCCCCTTCGGTCCTCTCCCCCCATCCCCACCCCCACCCCCCTACGTCACGCCCCACGGTGCGCCCTTAGGGCAGCTCTGGCAGGAAGCCGTTCCTAGGTCGTGGCGGTGGGAACCCTGGCTCGCCAGAGTCTGTCGAGCTCAGTGCACTCTGGGACTTAGAGTTCAGGCCCTCGTACAGGCTATTCTTGGGAAGCAACAGAGAACTACTTCTCCCGGCGTGCCCTGTGCGTCGGACGGTGTAGCACCACGCCTTCTTTGTGGTTTTGCTTCGCTCCAGGTTGGGTCGCGATCCCAGAAGGTGCAGGGGAGGTGGAGGAATTCGTATCAACCCCAAGCACCCTTCCCAGAACGCAGAGTTCCCTGCCACCCCGCAGGCCACCTCTAGGTGTCCATGGTTCTCTCTGGCGACGGGTGGAAGGAACTAGGAGTCCAGATTCCTCCTCTGCGGCTTTTCCAAATTAATACAGCAGATGACTGGATGCTACCGCTGTGTTTAGTTATGTTTATTGGGGAGGGGATGGGGGACGGAGGTCAAGACAGGGTTTTCTCTGTGTAGCAGCCCTGGCTATCCTGGAACTTGCTTTGTAGAACAGGCTGGACTCTAACTCACAGAGATCCCTGCCTCTGTCTCCCGAGTGCTGGGATTAAAGGCGTGCGCCACCACCGCCAGGTTTGTGTTTTGTTTTTTGAAATAGGGGCTTGGTTGGACACCTTTAATCCCAGACAGAGGCAGGAGGATCTCTGTGAGTGTCGTGTCAGCCTAACCCACATAGCAAGTTCCACACCAGCCAGGGCTACACAATGAGTCTCTTGTCTGATTAATAAATAAGCAAACAGACAAGTGAATAAATGGGTCTCGTGTACTTCTGACTGGCTTTAAACTTGCTAGGCGGTGGAGGATTTCCTTGAACCTCTGTGCATACTGCCTTCACCTCCCCAAGAACGGGGTTTACAGGCTTGCTTTACCACAGCCTGGGTGCTCAGGTACTGGGGATTAAACCGAGGATCTGGTACCAACGGATCCACCCACAACCTGTTCTTGTTGGTGTCTTCCAGAAGGTATTCTGAACCGGATGGGGGAAGGAGTGGGTGTGGTGTCCTCCTGAGAGGAGGGATTCGTGCGGGTAGGTCTTGGTAAACACTGAAAACCCAAGACTTTTTCTCGAGCCATGAATGCGTGTCCTAACTGGCCCTTTTCCCATGTACTTCCAGTTAGGTCTCAAACCTGGCACAAACGGCTAACTGACGTGCCTATTTAACATATCAAAACAGACCTGGCCGCCTGGTACACTCTGCACCCTTCAGTTTCTACTTGTTACCGAGTATGATGGGTAGGCGTACCCCAACCCTACCCTAAACTTCTCCAGCCCAGGGGCTGGGCTGAGGTCCCGCTGTTGTCCTTCCCTATATAATCCAGACCTTTACCCTCCTGGCATCTTGGTCTCCTGGCTCTCCCCTCTCGGCTCTCCTCACATGGTCCAGTTCAGGGTCATATTCACTCTGGACTTTCCCAGATGTCCCTGCGTCTGGCCATGCGCTCCCTTTTATCTACAATAAACCTTGCCCTCCACCATGCCTAGGAGCAGCCATACCCTTCCTGTTTTATTGCCTTTTTGCATTTACTCCCAAAGAATTTCTAATTACTTTATTTAATTTCATGTGCATTGGTGGTTTGCCTGTGTAAGGTGCTGGGAGTCGAACTTTTGGGGCCTCTGGAAGAGAAGCCAGTGCATTCAACCACTGAGCCGTCTCTCCAGCCTGATCCTGGGATTTCTCTCTCTCTCTCTCTCTCTCTCTCTCTCTCTCTCTCTCTCTCTCTCTCTCTCTCTCTCTCTCTCTCTCTGTGTGTGTGTGTGTGTGTGTGTGTGTGTGTTATCTATGTGACATCTTATTCAGGTGGATTTCAGCAGGGAGAGGCAGGGTCAGACTTGGATGAGGTGGGTTCCTCTGGAGCAAGGGTGAATTGGATGGATAGTCAAGGAGGAGGCAGATATGAATGGTACATAGAACAGTGTTCCGTGAACTCTCAAGAGACTGCTGGGACACAAGTGAGTACCTTTTAGAGAAAGCGATGCAGTCTGTAGCTGTGGCTGCCCTGGAACGAGCTCTGTAGACAAGGCTGGCCTTGAACTCAGAGATCTGCCAACCTCTGCTGACATGAAAGGCAAGTGCAGCCATGCCCAGCTTGAACGTTGTGGTTTTTTAATTTTAATGTATTTAACTTCTATTTTATGCACATTGGTGTGAAGGTGTCAGGTCTCCTGGAACTGGAGTTATAGACAGTTGTGAGTAGCCATGTGGGTGCTGGGAATTGAACCCAGGTCCTCTGTAAGAGCAGCCAGTGCTCTTAACTGCGGAGTTATCTCTCCAGTCTGAACGTTGTATTTCTTTTTTTTTTAAGATATATTTATTTATTACATATACAGTGTTCTGCCTACATGCCAGAAGAGGGCACCAGATTGAATTGTAGATGGTTGTGAGCCACCATGTGGTTGCTGGGAATTGAACTCAGGACCACTGGAACAGCAGTCAATGCTCTTAACCTCTGAGCCATCTCTCCAGCCCCCTGAACGTTGTATTTCTTAAGACTTACTTTGATATGTGTGGTTGTGGAGGCCAGAGAGTGTCAGTTTTTTAACCTCCGAGCTATCTCTCATGAAATCATGTTCATGGCTTTCCCAGCCCATCTTCCTGGTTTCTTCCCTTTTTAAAGATTAAAAATGTCTATGTATGTCTGTAGACAGAGGCCAGAAAAGGGCATTGCATCACCTCCTCCGCTGTGAGACAGGAATCCAGGAAGCCCCAGTGATCCTCTCTGTGCCCCCCACCTCAGAGGCAGGGGTGTTGCATGAATCTGAGGGGATGCTCAGCCTGGTCCCTGGGTACTGGGATTCCAGAGGATGTTCAGTCTGGCTCATGGGTACTGGGATTCCAGAAGATGCTCAGCCTGGTTCATGGATACTGGAATTCCAGAGGATGCTCAGCCTGGTTCATAGACACTGGAATTCCAGGGGATGCTCAGCCTGGTCCCTGGGTACTGGGATTCCAGGGGATGTTCAGCCTGGTCCCCGGGTACTGGGATTCCAGGGGATGTTCAGCCTGGTCCCCGGGTACTAGGATTCAAAGCCTGATGCTGAAGCATGTGCTTTTTTAGCCATCCTCTAAGCTCTCTTGGTTTTAAAAAACCCCTTCCTGGGTGTTGGTGGCGCATGCCTTTAATCCCAGCACTCGGGAGGCAGAGGCAGGTGGATCCCTGTGAGTTCGAGACCAGCCTGGACTACCAAGTGAGTTCCAGGACAGCCTCCAAAGCCACAGAGAAACCCTGTCTCGAAAAAAAACAAAAACAAACAAACAAAAAAAAAACCCTTCCGGCAAACTGAAGAATCTGGGTTCTCGACCCTCTCTTGAACCCCTCTCCACCCACCTACCCACACCACCTCAACCCTCGGTAAATAAATCGTGAGTCTTCCTGTTATCTTTATATTGAGAGTCTTAAAAAAGAACATCACGGATGTGGGGGGTGGGAAGGGATGACGGACGGTAGGAGTTAGAGGAACCTAAAGCTCAAGAAAATTAACAAAAATAAAATACATATTTATATATTTATAATATATATATATATATACCAAGTAATGCATGTGAGTTCCAGAGAAGCAAGCAGCAGCAGCAAGAAGCAACTAACACACAGACCCGGGTGCGCATGTGCAGCACACAGGAGCCACTCAAACCTGGACGGCGCCCCTCCGCCAAAGAAAAGACAGTTAAGAAACTTCCGTCTTGAATGAGGCTACACCACAACGGGGGTGTGGTAGCTAGCACACCTGTAGAATCTCAGCGCCTGGGAGTTGGAGATCGGAAGACCAAGGGTTCAAGGGCAGCATCAGCTATATAGTTAAGTTAGCTTGGGCTATATGAGGCACTCTCAAAAGCTTAAAAAAATAAAAACAAACAAAACCTTCTTAGTCATTTTGGTTTTTGCCTTCGTGTCCAGGAAAAAAATAAAGGAGGGTAATAACGCCTTTAAGGCCGGCAGAGGCCATTTTTCTTCCTGTCCACGCTAAAGCGGGCCATGTTATTTTTAACACTGATGGGAGAGCCACCATTACTGTCCCTCAGAAATACTTCCAGAGTTGTCTTGAAGACCATGTGGGTATTTTTGGTGGGTTTTTGTTTTGCATTTTGTCTGTCTGTCTTTTGGATAACACAGAGAATTCGGCAAAAGGCATCATCCATCCTTCCCTTCATCCGGGAGAGCAGCGGGTTTTCAGGAAGCCTGGTTAAAAAAAATATATTCTGGAGCGAATTTTAGGCAAAGCTGAGGGACAGGTAGAGACAGAAGAAGCTGTCTGTTGGCTAGCGGGAATTGTTGACCTGCAGGGGTTTTTTTGTTTGTTTGTTTTTGTCTTTGTTTGGTTTTGACCTTGAAGGAGAGGTGCAATATACAGTCTTGCTCCCCAACCCCTATAACGCACACGCACACACACTCTAAGGCACAGCTAAGACAGGCAGGCAGGCAGGCAGGCAGACATGCTTTGGCAAGAGGCCCCTAAAAGAGGCCCATGGGGTGAAGAATTGCAAAGGATTGTGGGATATGTGTGGGGCCAGCACCTTTGAGGGGTGAGGGAGAGAAAGCAAGAATTCCGAGGGCTCCCAGGCAAACAGGCATGGTGACAAAACCAACTGGAAGAGATAGGAAAATAGGAAGTTGGAGACAGCTGGGGGGAGGGGGCGACGACAAGACAAAACAGGATATTCGCCAGGCAGGCGAACAGGAAGAGGAAGGAGAAGAAGAAGGGGAAGAAAAAGAAACAAGGAGAGAGAACAATGTGTCAGGAAGAATATATGTGGAGGAAGAGGAAACGGGAGGGAGGTGAGGAGAAGGAGGAGGAAGAGGAGGAGGAGGAGGAGGAGGAAGAGGAGGGAAACAGGACGGTACCAAAAATGTGGGCAGTAACGATGGAGAGGCTGCAAGATGGGACGGGGCGCAGGGAGGAGGGGAGCCCCTGGTCATCCTCAGACCTTGACAAACACCAGGCGGGTGGAGTACACCAGGTCAGACACGTATGCCAGCAGGTTGATACCCGTCAGGATGGCCACCGCCAGGCGGCGGTCCCAGAAGCACACCGCGTGGGGGTGCGAGTAACCGCAGCTCGAATCCGAAGCACGCCGGGGTTGGCCGTGGTACCTCTGATCGAACTGGTAGAGGGGCCAGAGGACAATGGCAGTGGCATACAGGAGGACAGAGAGCAGGGCCAGGCCCGACAGGAAGGTGGGGAAAGGGATGGGCAGCATGTTGGTGCAGTCTCCCAGGTTGAGCAAGATGGTCACCGCAGCCAGTATGAAGCAGATGGCGTAGACCGCCACACACCACTCCAGGGCCGGCTTATTCTGGTACAGGGCCGGCTCGCTGATGAAGGCGAAGATGATACAGGCTACGAAGGTCTCGAACACTTTGAGTAGCCCCGGCACGGTAGCCATGTAGCCGGTGATCTCGCCGGGCCTCGCACGGGTCCAGGCCACTTCGGTAGCGTAGGCCAAGCAGGCGACACAGGAGAAGGTGGTGGCGACGATGGCGTAGTCCCGGGTACGCCCGTGAGACAAGAACTGCACGAAGGTGGTAGGGTAGATTATGGAAGACGAGAGGCAGAAGAGAGCCGCGTAGCAGGCGTAGGTGATGGGGAAGTTTCGCCACGACAGGGGGAAGCGGGCCTGGAGTCCAGCTAACTCCACAATCAGGATGATAAAGGTCACCGCGAAGCAGAAACACCAGGTGAACATGGCCCAGTTACCCATGGGCCCAGTCCAAGCAGCCACGCTGGCCACCATCGAGAAAGCTATGCAGGTGGATATCAGCTGCAGGAGGCGGAGGAGGCCCAGGGGCTGGGTCAGCGCCCGAGGGGACCCCACGATGGTGGAGGACGACGTCGTAGTAGTCGTGATGGTCGTGCGGGTTACTGATACCGGCATGGCTGAGAAAAACAAAAGCATTTGGATAAGGTCTCATACTGAGGCATTCAGGCATCCAGCCGTTCACTGGTCTTGGAATAAATTACCTTAAACTCTGAAAAGGGTATGTCTAAGAATATGGATGGTGGTGGCGCACGCCTTTAATGCCAGCGCTCGGGAGGCAGAGGCAGGGCGGATCTCAGTGAGTTTGAGGCCAGCCTGGTCTACAGAGAGAGTTCCAGGACAGGCTCCAAAACTACGGAGACCCTGTCTCTAAGAGAGGGAGGGAGGGAGGAGGGGGAAGTGAGGGAGGGAGAGAGGAAGGGACCCAGCAACAAAAAGATTGTGGTCTAGGATCCTGTCGTATCATTTCCTCCTGTGTGACCTAGGGCTTCATACCCCAGGCCCTATGAACAAAAGTTCCCCCTTTCACCCCACAGCAACTCAGTCATCTCTGTTTCTTCACAGCCAAGACTCCAACTTCCTCATACTCTAGGCCCTGTGGGTAGATTTTTTTCTTTTTTCTTTTCTTTTTGTTTTTTGAGTCTAACAGCCCTGGCTGTCCTGGAACTCACTTTGTGTACCAGGCTGGCCTCGAACTCACAGAGATCTGCCTGCTTCTGCCTCCCAAGCACTGGGATTAAAGGTGTGCGCCGCCATGCATGCCCAGCAAAAAGATTTCTTTTATGTAAGAGCAAGCTAGGCATTGGCAGCCCCTATACATCCAATATTCCAGCTCCCACATCTAAGCAGAGCGCTGGACCTCCGTCCTTCAAGTCACTCCTCTCCGGGAGATCTCTGATCTGGAGTGTCAAGCTTTCTTCCCTCCTTTCAAGTGTCACCCATCGTGTCCCTAATCCTACTTCAGACATGGGAAAATAAAGCAGAGACAGCCCAGTTTCCTCTTTCCTATCATCGAGCCTATCGCCTCCTATAGGGACTCAGCCAACAGGTTCCTCGAGTTCAGGAAAATTCAACTCCCTCCACTCCTACTGCTCAGTGGCCCAGCTCCAGCTACATTAGTGTCTAGTTTCCCAGGCCAGTCATGCAGGATCGACCTCAGGGCAGGCCCCTCAGCCTCCTAATGTCCCCTGTGACCCAGACAAACCACAGCTTCAATTTCCTTGTCCCAGAGACTGGGACCAGATGCCAGGGCCCTCCTCAGGATGCAAACTGTTGTGACCTCTCAGCGGATGCCCCCCAAAGCACGGGAGGTGGTTCCCAGCCCCAGGCAAATAAAACTTCCTTATTGCTAGGATCAGTTCTGCAGTTATTTCCTCTCATTGCTGGAGGGAGGGGAGAAGCTCAAATGACTCAAAAGCTACAGAGACCTGGGCCTAGTAGAAGGCTCAGTTGGTAAAGGAACTTGTAAGGATTCAGGCACTACGCTGGCTTACTCCCATCACCTGGCAGAATGCACTCAGGCAGTGCCCTGGTCAGCCCAGGGTTCTGTGACTGAGTAGTCTGCACGCAGGTGCAAAGGAGCCCTTTAAGAGAAAGACCCCGCCCACTTTCTTTGCCACTCTCTTTCCCGCTGTTCCCCTGGGGCAGACAGGACGTTTCCTGTCTCCCTCTCCTCTTCTGTCCTCTCTCTGTGTCTCTCTGTCTCTTCACCTCTTCTCTCTTTCCTTCCCCCTCCCTCTTCTTTCTAATAAAACTTCTCACTAAGCCCTGTCTGTCTGGCATGTTTGTCCCCCGCCTTGGTCACCCTCGCCTGCCATGGAATCCACGCAAGGTTCCCCACGAGCTTTATCCTAACACAAGTTGCAACAGAGCATGACAAACCTGAGTTCAGCTCCCCCGAGACCCACATGGTGCATAGAACTGAATTCTGCAACTTGTCCCCTTACCTCCATACACTTGCCACAGGGTGCCCGCTCACACACAGGCACACACACACACACACACACACACACACACACACACACACACACACACACACACGGTAATTACATGTTAGAAAGAAGAAGGATCATAGGAACTTCCAAAGCTTTGGAAGCACACTCAGAAAGTACAAGGTCACGGCAAGGGGGCCTCACTACAAGAACATAAGAACATCGAGGAATTAAGAGAATGGGGTGGGGTGAGGGTGGATATTTCATTTAGCCAGGGGTGAGGGTGGGGTTTGTTGATGGTGGTGGTGGCGGCTGCGGCCGCCTTTAATTCCAGTACTCGGAGGCAGAGACAGGTGGATCTCTGAATTCGAGGCCAGCCTTGTCAATGGAGTGAATTCCAGATGGGCAGAGCTACACAGAGAAACCCTGGAAAAACCAGGGGTGGGGGTGGGGTAGGGGTGAGGTGGGGGAGGGGGAGGGTGTATAAGACTCTAGTTGAGCCGAATGCTCTAGGAATGTATCTTTCATGAGTCATCATCACCCACGCAGGGGTGGGCTTTTCAGTGACGCCCAGGCCCCTGCAAGTATCCCAATCCACTCACTGGCTCAACAAGGGGCACTTCGATCTTCCATAACCAGTTTATTTGGTCTGTTTTTTTCTTTTTTCTTTCTTTTTTTTTTTTTTTTGGAGGCATGGGCTCTCTGTGTAGCCCTGGCTGTCCTGGAACTCGCTCCGTAGCCCAGGCTGGCCTCAAAAATCACAGAGAATCCGCCTGCTTCTGCCTCCCCAGTGCTGGGGCGCCACCACCGCGGGGCGGTATGTCTGATCAATTATAATTTATGTTATGAGATGAGCGTAAGTTGTTCCTAACTTTCCCCAGGAAAAGTCGTGCTAAGGTCAGGCCCATGGAAAGACAAAAGGTCAGGCTTTAACCTCTGGAAGCTCGCACTGTCCCAGAAGAGCTCCCAAAGTACACGGGAGCCAGCTCCCGGATACAACCTCTTGGGCACAGGGATAACTGATTCTAACCTCTGGAACCCTACCAGGTCCCTCCTCTAGCGGGATCTAGGAATCCCCCTCCTCCCTCATACCCAGAGACCCAGGCCCTCTCCTCCTGTAGATCTAGTTCAATACTCCTGGCCAACCTCCCTGAGTCAGACTCAGCAATCGCCAGCCCTCCTTTCCTTTCAGGATCCAGGCACTCGGTTCTTAGACGAAGGGGTCCTCCATCGGACCCAGAACAGGACCCTAGACCCTCCTCTCTTCCCCAGCCCTCTTCCCTGAAACTTAGAGCTCCCCCCAGCCCAGCCCTACACCTTCAAGAACTGTAATTACCGCCGCTCCACCCCCGAGAACTGGGAGATAGGGCCACCACTCAAACACTCACCTGCGGTCTCCACTGAACCCGGGAAGGAGAAAGATCCCGCTGCGAGGGCGGAGACGGTGGCGCGCCTGGAAAAGGCCGATCAGAAGCCCTGGGGAGGAGAAAGGCAGTCAGGGCGGAACTCAGAAAAGTCCTCCCCTGGCCAGCACCCTGACCCGGAGCCCTAGACGCCACAGCAGGGACTTATCTCCCCGGTGGGGACGCATTCTTGGCGGCGAGCCCTGGGGGCGAGCCCTGCGAGGTTACCCCGAGGAAGCACCGCCCCTCTCCCTCCTCCCACCCCAGGACTCGCCGCTTGGGCGGGGGACAAATCGGGACAAAGGGCCGGCCCCCTGGCCCGCTAGGGGCGTGAGTGATGTTAACCTAGCCCCAGCCGTGCAGTCGGCGGAGGGAGATCCCGGGGCGGTGGTTGTCGGGGCGGGAGGCCCAGCCTGGCCTGGCGTCTCCGCTCCTTATAAGGACTTTAAGTCGCCTCAGCCGGGGCAATGTGGCAGGGACCAACCAAGAGGTGGTGCCAAGACCCTCGAGGCCCACTCGGAGGCTGCCCGCCCCTCTCCAGGACACCCTCGCGGGAGACTGGGTGTACGTGTGGGGTGGAGTGGGGGGGTGACCCTGGGTTCTAGGAGGAGGTGGGAGGGTCCGATTTGTGGTTCCTTGGAAAGTATGAGCTAGAAGCCTAGCACAACCAACTCCCACAAGTTGTCCTCTGACCTCCACACTTGCCCTGTGGTACGTGCTGCCCCCACCCCCGGCAAAGTAAATATATTTTAAAAATCTATTTTCAGCCGGGCGACAGTAGCGCACGCCTTCAAAACCAGCACTCAGGGAGACAGAGGCAGGCAGATGTCTGTGAGTTCAAGGCCAGCCTGGGCTACAAAGTGTGTCCTAGAATGTCCTAAGACAGAGAAACCCTGTCTTAAAAACAAAAACAAACAAAAAACAAACCTCTATTTTCAGCCAACTCTTGCAGTATAGACCTCACTGGCCTGGGGAGCTTGTATGTCAGCCATGCTGGCCTTGAACTCCGCATGCCTCTGTCTCCCAAGTGCTGGGATTATTTACTAATTTGTTTGTTTAGTTAGTTATTTTAGAGTTCTGAGTCCCTCCAAGAATGGAATGGAGTCTAGCCTCGTATAGTAGGGCTGTATTCCCAGAACCCTGGTAGAGGCAGATTGGAAATACAGAGCTTCCTGCAGCCATAGACTTAAGACAAGCCAGATCTCAAAAAAAAAAAAAAAAAAAAAAAAAAAGGTAGGGGAAGCATGGGGTGGGGTAGGTGGAGTATTTGACTAGCATGTGGAGGTACTGAGGTACTGGGTTTAACCCCCGGTACAGGGTGGGGATGTGGTTAGGGGAATGAAACTCTCTGAGTAAAACCAGACCGGAACTCCTTTAAAACTTCAAAATTGCCCTCGAGGACATATTGCTTCCTTGACTCCAGGCTAGAAAACTCTGGAATTAGGTACACACAGTGACTGTAGGTTCCCCGGACCTGTGCTATGGCCTCCAGTGCACCTCGTAGATGCCACAGGAAGGCAGAAACTTCAGTACCCACTGGGGTCGGTTAATGCGAAGCGGGGACTAGTCCCACAGAAAAAGTGGGCTACTCATCGCCATTAATCCCAACACTCAGGAGGCAGAGGCAAGCGGATGTCTGCGAGTTCAGGGCCAGCAAGGTCTCCACAGCAGGTTCCAGAACAGCAAAGTCTGTACATGGAGAGACCCTGCCTTTAAAAGAGAAAAAGAAAAAGAAAAGTAGGCGACTGTCCCGCCATAAACAATAGGCGGGGACAGCAGGAATCCTTCGGTCTGGAGAGAAAGTTGTTTAGGGGAGGAAAAAAGGGAAAGGGTGACCCTAAGAGAGATTTCCGGTCCAGAGGGCCTCCAGCACCTTTCCAAGTCACAGCTCAGGAATGCTCAGCCGAAGACCTTAGCAGGGCAAGGAAACACCCCCCTTGAGCTTCCTCCTAGCTCTAGTTCCACTATCCGGGCCACACCCAGCACCCCTCCTACCATCCCCCCCCCCAGCTCCAATCCTGAGGTCATCCATCACTCCACAGACGCGGGCACAGCCCTGATCAGACTCCCGGCCACGCCCCACACCAGCGGTGGGCACAGCCTTAATTCCACAGGGCTCCCCAGCTCCCCCTACACTCCAGACTGCCCGTATAGGGCCTGTGGAAGGCAGTTCAGACCGAGGACTTCTCCCCTCCTGAGCCTCCCTGGGTACCAGATGCAAGCCTCGCATCCAAGTGCCCCATCTCCCCTCAGATTCAGGGAGCTCCTTGTCTCCAAGTCTTCAAACCCAAGAGTCCTGATCCCAGCCGCACCAGCCTCCTTCAGTGCAAGTTCAGAGCCCCCCTCCCTCAGAACAAACTCAGATCCCCTTTCCCCCCCTTCCCTTCTCCGGATTAAGCCCAAAACCATCCCTCGTCCCCCAAGACCCGTCTTAAGTCCCAATCCCAGACCTGTTGGGTCAGACCTAGGAGTCCAGATCCCATCCACCTCTCTCCGCCTCAGGGGTCCAACCCCCACCGTCCTTCCTCAGACCCAGGTGCCGACTCTCCAACTCCTCGTCTTTACCGTGTAAGACCTGTATGAGCTCAGAGAGTCCTGGCCCAAATGGAGTGTTTCTAGGGACCGGGACATCCGAATCCCTGCACACTTCTCTTTCTAGACCCAAGGATCTTGGACACCACTCCTTCCCTCCGGGGGTCCCTGCTGTCTCACCTCTCCAGCCAGTGGCGTCTGCCGCAGAAAACAAGAGCGACAGCTGCAGACCAGGAGGGTCTTAGGGCTGGGTGGAGTTGGCCACTTGAGCAGCATGCGAGGGCGGGGCTGAGGGCGGGGCTTGGGCCTGGCTGGGGCGGGGAAAAGGTACTTTCCCTCCATTTGGGCTATCCCTGGTCGGCCCCCCCCAAGGCGGGGCTCATGTCACACCACGCCCCTCTAAAGGCTAGCGTGTCGTGGATCTCTAGCCCAACCAGTGAGGGGGTGCAGGGCTGAGGTCACCGTTGCCGTGGAGACAAAACAGGAAGACACAGCAGCTGGCGGCGCGGGGGCTCCCAGGGGCTATCCTCCCTGACATAGCTCTAGAAAGAAATCTCCAGGGTAGGTCCGAGAATGCAGTTGCCGTGGAAACCTACATGTTTACGGTTTGTTTTAGATGAAGTCCCCTTCCCCACCCCCCAGTTCGGGTCCCCACGCCTAGTCTTACCCCTCATTCAATTCTCCCTCTCCATGCTCCTGTCCTTGTCTACCTGATTCCCAATGCTAACCGGATTTAAAAAAAAAAAATCTTACACACCCAGATCGCAGAGTATTGCAGGCCAGACCTCTCGGTTTAACGGAGTCTGTGGGCTAGGGTCTTGTCTACCTGAAAAAAGAAAGGAATTTAGGGTTCCAGACCTTGAGCTCTTAGGAATTCTGAGCAAACAACCTTCAATAGCGAGGCCCCACCCCAAAGAACAAAGACTGGATTTCTGTGTTGGGAGGGGGGTCTTCCTAGAGGAGAGTGCGCTGTATCTCCAATTACACGGTAATTGTCGCATGAGGACTGCCAGGCCACGTCTCAAAAGATCACAGTCAACAGGGGCAAAAGGGTGATGGGTAGGAGCTAAATTCCTGGCAGTCTGGGGGTCCCAGACTTCTGAGCGATCAGACGGTTTTCAGAACAGATGTGGCTGGGGGTTTTTTGCCGAGCCTCCTGGTTCTAGAAGGCCGAGCTATTTTTGGCTTGCATTCCAGCCTTCAGGACACAGGGAGGGACTTTATGAGGACGGGCCTGAATCCGGGAGCTCTGGATTCGGGGTTCTACCATATGGGAGGGATACAGTGTACCCCGTTGTGCCGGGAGGGGGGCAAAAGTAAGAGGGGAGGGCTTCAGGGTTGCTTATTTTTATTTTTTATTTTTTTAGTGTCGGATTTGAGGACCTGAATGGATAGGACTGAGCCAAAAGGGAAAGTGAGCTGGAGGTCGCCTTGCGGGAGGGAGCTGAAGGTCGCGACGCCGGCCCCCTGGGCAGGGCGGGGACCCGGGATACCTGGCTCCCTCCCTCCTAGCCGCACTCACCCGGCTCTGCCGCGGTCCCGGGCGCGGCCCTGCTCCGCTGCTCCTGGGCGGGGCCTAGTGGCGGCTGCGGATGCTTGGCTCTTCCCGGAGGCTGCCTCTGGTCGTCTTCCAGAAGGACTAAGGAGGCTTAGGGGCCCAGCCCCAGAGAGGAAGGCGCGAGCGTCGCGTAGGGAGGGGTCCGAAGGGGTCCCGGAGCTCAGAACAGCCAGCAGCGTGCCCTACGGAGGAGGGAGGAGCTGGAGGGGGCACCTGGGCGCTTGCTTAGTGCTTGGCTGAAGTGGGGGTGGGGACCGAGGTATAGGGTTGGGGAGGCGTTGAGCTACTGGCTCACTTTGCATTCCTGGGAAGAGACACAGAAATGGAGGCTCCTCGTCGTCGTCGTATGCCCTGCATAAGTGAGGGCTTTAGTTTAGTCTAACACACACACACACACACACACACACACACGTTTACTTATTTTACGTGCTAGACTGCAAATGTGGAAGTCACCACAACTTGTGGGAGTCAGTTTTCTCCTCCCACTATGTGGGATCTGGGGATCAAGCTCAGGTCATCGTTTTGGCTGGCCCTTGAGCTATCTTGTTGGCCTATGGAAGGTATGGCCTTGTTTTTTGTTTTAATTTCTTGTTTTTATTTTTATTTGTTTTTATGTGTCCAAGTGTTCTTGTCTTCATGTATGTATGTGCACCACGCGCAAACCTGGTCTCAGAGGTCAGGAGAGGGAATCAGATCCCCCTAGAACTGAAGTTACTGATGCTTGTGAGTCACGTTGTGGTGTTGGGAATTGAACCCTGGTCCCTCTGCAAGATAAGTGCTCTTAACGGCTAGCCATATCTTCAGTCCCTTGAGGAGTTTTTTTTTTTTTTTTTTGTGGTTTTTCGAAACACGGTTTCTCTGTGGCTTTGGAGGCTGTCTTGGAACTAGCTTGGTAGTCCAGGCTGGTCTCGAACTTACAGAGATCCGCCTGCCTCTGCCTCCCGAGTGCTGGAATTAAAGGCGTGCGCCACCAACGCCCGGCTCCTTAAGGAGTTTTTAATATGTCCAGCATCAGACATTTACACATACACTCTCATAAGCCTTTATAGTCTATAGATAATAGGCTGGATTTCCCATGAACTCTATTTACAAGCTGCCTTAGCCCCAAGGGTTCTGGCTTAGTAATATCTCCTCCCCCCCTTACTAAGTCATTCACACCACCACTACAAAGCTGGAGGCATCTCAAGTGATCTACAGAGGTGTTGCTTTAGAAGTAGTTCCTGTACAGAGATGGTTCAGTGGGTCAAGCTAAACTTGATGACCTGAGTTCCACCTCCCTGTGGTAGAAGGAGAACACTGATTCTCAAAATTTTTCCTCTGACTGACACAGGTCCACTGTGGCATGCATTCCAACACGCGCGCACACACACACACACACACACACACACACACACACACATGCATGCACGAACATAGGCATGCAAGCATGCACATGTAAAACAAAAGCCAAAACACTTCAGTGTTCAGGGTATCATGAAAAGGCACAAGAACAATCTGGGCTGTGTAAGTGTGTGATGCTGAAGATTGAGGCCCTCGCCTCAATCATGCTAGGTGAACTCTGCATCACTGAGAACTTCCCCCAGCCCAGTTTGCAAACATTTGAAGAGTGAGTCACAGGGTACGATTTCTGCGAAACTCTTGGGATCGTGTATGTGGTCCTGGTTCAGTGTTTACCCATCTTTTAGTAACAGAACCTACACCCAAATGTCCCCAGCCTGTCATACTACCCCTTTCTGACAGGCCGTGCCTGTGTTATAGGAGGCTGACTGCTTTGGGAGTGTCGAGGTACATGAACAACAACCCTCTAAACTCATACGAACTCCTAAATAAACAGTGCCTTGATCAGAAGCAGTGCTGTGTGGTTTAACGCGGTGATGAATGGTGAATAGAGCCATTCATTGTGCACACACAGGCTGCTTTTGGCAGCCGTGCAAAGGGCAAGAAAAGCAAATAACAAGCACAGTTACTTACTCCATGGAGGAAAAAAACGTATTGCCCAACCCATGAGAGGAGAGGTCCAATGTAGTCCTCAGAAGACTGGGCGTTCAGCTGGCCTTCCTCCTACTCTCTGCTTCCTTGGGGGCTCAGCAAAGTGTTGCTACTACCAGCAAGGTGGGCATTCATTGATGAGGTGGCTTGCTACGGTTGGTGAGTTGACCATTTTTTTGCTTAGGAACTCACCAAGCAAGTCCTGGAGTATCTAGAGAAGAGTTGACAAAGAGACACCAAGCAACCATCTGGTCTACCACGTGACATAATAAAATTCCCTCTAGTAGAGGTGATTATGGGAGAGTTCATGAGATCTAAACTACAAGAAGAACCGACCAAGAGATACCAAGCAGCCATCTGGTCTACCACATGACATAATAAAATTCCTTCTAGTAGTGGTGATGATGGGAGAGTGCATGAGATATAAACTATGAGGTGATTTTCATTCTCACAACTTCTAACACCTATAGAAGTTTTATTTTCTCAACTATCAATCAAGTCTTCTCTATCTTACAATTCAATTAAAAGATTATTTTTATTTCAACATGTATATGCTTGCATGAATTTGTGTGTACCATATACATGCCTCAGACATCAGAAAGGGGAGTCAATAGCCTTCTTGTTAACAGATGACTGTGAGCCATTGTGTGGGCACTAAGATCTGAACTTGGATTATCAGGAAGAGCACAGGATGGTCTTGAACTTCCTGGGTAGACAAGGGTGACCTTGAACTCCTAATCCACCTGTCTCTAATTCCCAGGTGCTGATATTACATGTGTGTCACCTTGAACAATTTATGTGGTTCTGAGCATCAAACCCAGGTCCTTGTTTTTGCTAGTAAAACAAGTGACAGCAAACAGCTCTATTCCTGGGTAAGATGGCTCAGTAAACAAGTGTTTGCTGAACAGGACTGCATTCAATCTCTGGAATCCACGGTGGGAGGAAAAAACTCCCAAAAGTTGTCTTCTGACCTCTACACTCACATCCAGGTATGCACACGTGTGCATACATGTACACACACACACACACACATATAGACAGCAAATAGTGAATCCTAAACCACCTTAGGCTACATGAGAAGCTCCCCCTCCCTCCTCCTGAGACAGGGTTTCTCTGTGTTGGCTGTCCTGGAACTCACTCTGTACATCAGGCTGGCCTCGAACTCACAGAGATCGGCCTGCCTCTGCCTCCCAAGCGCTGGGATCAAAGATGTTGGCCACCACTGCTGCTGCTGCCACCACCACCAAGCTACATGAGATCTTATTTAAGGCGGGAAAAGCTTCAATGAAACTGAAGACTACTCTGTGGTTAATAGCACTTACTGCTCTTGCAGGAGAACTGAGTTCAGCTCCCAGCATCCGTATTTGGTGGTTCACAATCAACCACGGCTCTCACTCCAGGAGATCTGTTACCCTCCTCTGGACTTGGAGGAACTTGCACTCACACATGCACAGACACACACAGATTACCACAAAAATTTTAAAAATAATAAAAGCGCCAGGCATTGGTGGCACATGTCTTTAATCCCAGCACTCAGGAGGTTGAGGCAGATGGATCTCTGTGAGTTCGAGGCCAGCCTGGTCTACAGAGTGAGTTCCCGGACAGCCTCCAAAGCCAGCAAAAAGTCAGCTTCCCATTTCTTTTGGTCCTTACGCTATATGAGCATGTTTGGCAGCTGCTGACCTCAGTAACCTTCAGCCCTAACTGAGGTACCTTTCCCAGAAAGATTAGAAGTCAGACAGTCAACTCTGTTATCCATAGCCCTACTGCGTGAACCACTTCCCTTTTGTCTGTTGGATCTTCAAAACAACAAAGGTGTACCTGAAACCCCTAGTTCCTCAGCTTTCTCCTTCCACTTCTGGGTAAGGGTCCAAAGTCGGTGATTTCAGTGACATGCTTACTCTACCCACGGTACCTGACACCCTTTTACCCTTCCATCCTTGTATTGCCCCCGGTGTTAGAGAAGAGGAAACCCACTTATGGTTATTGGTGCTTTGTTTGTTTGTGTTTTGTTTTGTTTTTTGTTTTTTGGCAGGGTTTCTCTGTGGCTTTGGAGGCTGTCCTGGAACTTGCTCTTGTAGACCAGGCTGATCTGGAACTCACAGAGATCCGCCTGCCTCTGCCTCCCAAACGCTGGGACTAAAGGCGTGCGCCACCACTGCCCGGTGACTATTGGAGCTTTAATGTCTTTGTCTCTTAGCAGAGATCCCTGATATGGAGATCAATAAAGGTCCTATGGCTTGGATATCTTTTTGTGTTTGCTTGACTTTAATATTTTTTTGGCAGGGGCGCTGTTTCCATACAAGATTTCTCTGTTTAATCCTGGCTATTCTGGAATTTCTTCTATGGACCAGGCTGGCCTCAAACTCACAAAGATCTACCTATATCTGCCTCCCAAGTGCTGGGATTACTGGCTTACTACAGTACTGCCTGGCTAATTTTTTTTTCTTAATTTTATGGTCACTGTATTCATGTCTGTATGAGGGTGTCAGAAGCCCTGGAACTGGAGTTATAGATGGGTGTGAGCTGCCATGTGGGTGCTGGGAATTGAACTTGGGACCTCTGCAAGAGCAGCCAGTACTCTTAACCACTGAGCCATCACTCCAGCCCACTGGCTTTCATTTTTAATATTCATTCTCTCTTTTCTCTGTGCCTTTCTCCATCTGTCTCTCTCTGTGTCTCTGTCTCTCTCTGTCTCTCTGTCTCTTTCTGTCTCTCTCTCCTCTCATGTGTGTGTGTCTGTGTGTCTGTGTGAGTGTGTCTGTGTGTACAAACATGTGGGTACTAATGTGAACCTCAGAGGACAACTTCCGGGAGTCAATTATCTCCTTCTATTATGTGGGACCCAGGATTCAAACTCAAATCATGAGACTTGCAGGTTAATGCCTTTACCAGACAAACCATCTCCATGGCCCCATTAGTGTTTTTGAGATAGGGTTTCATGTAGCCCTGGCTAGTCATGTAATCACTACATAGCCTAGGATGACCTTGAACTCCTGATCCTCTTGTTTCTACCTCCTGAAAGCAAGTGAGTTCCACTCTCCCCAGATGTTTTTGGTGTTTTGAGACAGGATCTTACTCTGTAGCCCAGAATACACAGAAGCTGGTAAGGTAACTGAGGCTGGTCTTGAACTCACAGCAATCCTCTTACCTCTATTTCTCAAGTGTTGGGGTCATAGGCTTGGGCCACTGTGTCTAGCTCTATGGTTTAGATCTTAAACGTCCCACAAAATCCCATGTATGGAAGACTTGATTCCCTGCTGGCACTGTTTTTGGGGGAGGCTCTGGAGTCTTCGAGGGGTAGGCAGAGCTGGAGGAAACAGGGCAGTGAGGCCTATCTTTGGAGGTAAGACCAAGAGCTAGACCCCTTCCCACTTCCTGTTTCCTCAACACCGTGATATGAACAGCTTCGGTATGCCTTCTCTGCCCCGGTGGACTGAACCCTCTGAAAGCACGGGCCAGAACAAACCTTTCTCCTTGTTGTTCTTCCAGGAATAGTGATTGTAGAAGCACAAAGTAACAAACCCAGCCAGCATCACTGCTCTTGTCGTTTGGCTCTGTACCTTTTTCTTCAGCATGGCAAGCTCATGCTGCTTCTCCGGCATCTTCTAGTGACTCTGCCCTTCTCCATCTCAGAGTTTTCTTTCTCCCTGTCTGCAAGTCCTGCCTAACCTCTTCCTGCCTAGCTATTGACCATTTAGCTCTATATAAAACCAGTGAAAGCAACACATCTTTACAGGGTACAAAAAGATTAGTCAGCTGGGCGTTGGTGGCGCACATCTTTATTCCCAACACAGCAGGCAGAGGCAGGTGGATCTCTGTGAGTTCAAGACCAGCCTAGTCTACAGAGCGAGTTCCAGGAGAGCCTCCAAAGCCACACAGAATCTCTGCCTCGGGGGGAAAAAAAAAAGATTAGTCCACAACAAACCAAGCTTCCTGAGTTTTACTCTTAAATGGTTTCTTCAAGTTGCACTCTGGCCTTAACACTTACAATGTGTGGTTTGCCTGGCCAGTCATGGGGGTGCATGCCTTTAGTCCCGACACTCAAGTGACAGTGGCAAGCAGATCTCAAGTGAGTTTGAAATCTCAAGTGAACTCATAGTGAGTTCAAAGCCAGCCTAGTCTACATAATGAGTTCCGGAACCGCCAAAGCTATATATTCAGGCTCTGTTTCAAACAAAACAAAAAGCAAAATGTGGCATGCACTTCTGTAAATGAAATTTATTTATTTATTTATTTATTTATGTATTTATTTATTTATTTATTGTGAAACAGGGTTTCTCTGTGTAGCTTTGGAGGCTGTCCTGGAACTGAGTTTGTAGACCAGCATGACCTGGAACTCACAGAGCTCTGCCTGCCTCTGCCTCCCGAGTGCTGGAATTAAAGGCATGGGCTACTACCACCAGGCTATGTAAATGTAATTTAAAATAAAGAAGAAATATAGAGTACTGGAAATACAGTTCAATGGCAAAGAGCACTTGCCCAGTAATATGTGAGGCCTAAACTTCATTCTCCAAGGCCAGGGATAGGGAATCTACTTGCTTACTTGCATGTTTTAACTTGGTAATCTATTTAGGGAAATAGCTTTCCAGTTGCCCAGTACCTCTCCCTTTTTGTTTTCACTGGTCTATTTTGTAACTTTCCAGAAATATCCATTGTGCAATATCCATTATTTGTGTTTCCAAAAATATCCATCCACATGTATTCAAGGAGTGTAGGTGCCCATGTCAGAATATCCTAAGGTAAGATACTGTTTAATATCTGTGGTGGCTTGATTGAGAAATGTCCCTCATGATGTCAGGCATTTGCAATCTTTGTGGGTGGGGCTGTTTGGGGAGGTTCAGGAAGTGCCCTGAGGTTACTATTGCTGAGATGAACCACCATGACCAAATGCAACTTGGGAAGGAAAGTTTTTATTTCATTTACACTTCCATGAAACGATTTATCACCAGGAGCAGTGAGGGCCGAGACTCAGGCGGGGAAGGAACCTGGAGGGAGGAACTGATGCAGAAACCGTGGAGGAGTCAGGACTTGCTCTCTCTCTCTCTCTCTCTCTCTCTCTCTCTCTCTCTCTCTCTCTCTCTCTCTCCCCTCCCTCCCTCCCTTCATCCCTTTTTCTTTTTCTTTTATTTCAAGACAGGGTTTCTCTGTGTAGGCCTGGCTATCTTGGAACGCACTCTGTATTCTAGCCCGGCCTCGAACTCACAGAGATCCGCCTGCCTCTGCCTCCCGAGTGCTGGGATTGAAGGTGTGCACCACCAACGCCCCCCAGCCTGCTTTCCTATGGAGCCCAGGACTACTAGCCCAGGATTGGTACCACCCACAGTTGGCTGGACCCTCCCCCGTCAATCGCTAATTAAGAAAGTGTGTAGCAGTTTTTTCTTTTTTCTTTCTTTTTTTTTTTTTTTTTTTTTTTTTTTTTGGTTTTTCGAGACAGGGTTTCTCTGGGGCTTTGGAGGCTGTCCTGGAACTCACTTTGTAGACCAGGCTGGCCTCGAACTCAGAGATCCGCCTGCCTCTGCCTCCCGAGTGCTGGGATTAAAG